TCCCTCCCTCCATCCATCCCACATATAATATAGGCTTTCACAAATTGCCCTCCCCTCACTACCCTCAGGAGAGCTCTGAAGCCTCCTCCTCCTCGGCTGACCCATGGAACTGCCTGCCACTTTGCTGGGAGGAGGTGGACCAAAGAGAGATGCAGATCATGAGGAAAACTGTATCCCCGCTCCCCATTCTGGCATGTCCTCAAGAGTCCCCTCCCTCGAGGGAGGAAGAGAGTTCACCTGTCAACCACCAGTGCCCCCTAGCCAACCCTACCTTGCCAGCAGGTAGCCAAGTTGCTCCTTCATCCTTCCCTCAATGCCCAAAGCCGTTAAGAGATTTCAAATTTCTGCCTTATTTCCAAAGCAGCCAATCTCCACCTGTCCGGCTTTGTGCCAGCCAATTCAGCAAAGGGGACAGAATGAGCCAGGAAAGAGGTCAGGGATATGCTCACGACCATCATGTGACTTGGGCTGACCACAGCGGTGCAGCAGCACAGCAGTGCTGAAGCAGCCACAAATTTCCCAAATTTCAATCCAACAGGAGTAATGGGTCTCAGATTTGGGATGCATTCTGTAAATTAGCCTATTTGAGGTACCTTGGTTCAAAAATTGTTGCCCTATGATGCAGAGTTTCACCTACTTGAAGGTTACAGACATGAGAGTTTTAGGGCTGTGGAGTCAGCACATAAAACCTTCAACTCCAACTCCTTTACCAATACTTTAATGGCCAAGTATAAAACATACACAAGGAATTTATCTTCGGTGATAATAGCAAAATCATGGTACCTCCGACTATTATTCATGGTACCTCCGACTCCAACTATAGGAAATATAAATACACTAATTATATGTTTCCTATATCGACTGCAAGCACGCAACATACAAGGCATTAAAATTAAAATATATCCTGAAAAAAAATAGGTTAATCAAATTATTGTCTATGGAATAGAAAATTTTAACATATTATATTATTTATATTACAATTTAAATTTATTAGAAGTCAGACTCGATACATTTTTACCAACTCCAACTCCAGTAACCCAAGAATTGCTTCTGACTCTGACTTCACAGGCCTGGTTTTAGTAGTATATAGACTACAAGAGTGTCTAATAATACAGCTACCAGGTTGGGGTTTATATATCTATAACTACAATGCTATAATCACATAAGGCAGATTAGGTAAGAATGTGGGAACCATTTACTTCCCACAATCCTGTCAATGTTGTTTGTATAAGCCTATGTGCTCACACTGAGATAAAAATGGAAAACAAAGAATGTCTAGGACATTCCTTCATATGTATTTGTGCCTGCTTCTTGACTGGATCAGGCCTAGGCATATGATTTTTTTTAATTAAATACACTGGTTGGGATGCACTGGTTCTCCTAGCTGGTCTTCAGGTGACCTGAAAACCCTTTCCTTTGTTTTTAATATAATTTTTTATTAAAGATGTTAAAAAGAAAGATAAAAACTAATACAAACTAATATAAAGTAAGAAAAAAAAATAAATCAAAGAGAAAGCTAAAAGTACAAAAAAGGAAAAAAAGAAGAAAAATAGAAAAGAAAGAAAAAAGATACAAAGTAGCTTCCAATCTTCTTTACAGCAGTTATGGGTACAATTATAAATTTATCTCTTACTCTATGGTTACAGCTTAACTTTCTGCTTTCTATAATCTAGCCTGTCTAATCACCAAAACCATAAATCATAAGTTCATTTTTTTTCTGTTTTATGCAAAAATAAGGGGTTTCCAGTCAGCAATAAATGTAGATATTGTCTTTTCTCCAATCAAAGAAGTCAATTTAGCCATCTCAGTAAGTTCCATTATCTTCACCAACCATTCCTCCACTGAAAACCCCTTTCCAAAATGTAAGGGCATTTTCAGGATTATATTTAATCAATTTTGAGTAGCAAGAACTTAAAACAAATGTTGTTCATGCTTTATAAATTTAACCTGCAAAATTAACAATTACAACTGATGCTACTTTTATCCAAGTTAGTAGAGTATTTGGGATCCAACAGTTTTAGTTAATTGATATAAGTGAGGATACTCCCCAAGCCTAATAATTTTACCATCAATCTTGGAAGATATTTATTATGTATTATTTGTACACCCGTGGCCAAAAGTTTTGAGAATGACACAAAGATTAATTCTCACAAGGTCTGCT